TTTTGAATGACCCCTAAAAGTCGTATGTATATTCTAGGGGCATAGTTACCCTATAACAGCAATATTCTCTAATTTTGTAACTTTATTATCGCCATGTTTTCAAACTTTAATGAGTGATATGATAACTGCTTGTACAATGTATTTTGATAGTGACAGATACCAGCCATGGTCCCTTTTGTTTTAGTAACACGTATGGGTCTGCTGCCACTTCTGATTCTTTCCCAAGCTTACCTTGGCAATGCATGTATGTTGGCTTAGTGATTTCCCCAAGAATGTTGTGTCCCTAAATAATCTTGAATTTGTCATTGAAATATCAGAATTACTGGTCCTGTGGGAGCTAAGTGATACTTTGGATTTCAATAATTGTTCAGTGATCTTGATTTTCAGCAAATGGAACAGTGCAATAAAATAGAAGAATTGATGAAAGAAGTGAATGGTAAGTAAAATGTGTATTGTTAACTACACACACATGCACACACACACACCTGTGGAGCTGTAGTTTGACCCCTGAACCCTTCATCAACTGGCCAATGTAACAAATTGGGTATTGATGTGTCACAGTCACCATCCGGGGTGTGTTTGAATTTCATGTAAACTTGATGTATACATAAAACATCAAGTCGTACATACGCACATGTATTTGTTTGATGATCTGATTTATGGTAGCTGAATGGTTGTTTAATTTCATCAAAATCATGCAATTCTGCAATTTAGGTCATTGGAAGATTATGTTCAAACTTTATATAATTCTTTATAAGTAACTCACAAGGCTACATGTATGTATTAAATGCGATTGTTTTCTTTCATAGAACTGAAACTACGAGCGGACACTGAAAGAGAAGAAAACAGAATGTTAAAAGAACAACTAGGAACCCATGAGGTGAGAACTCTTTCTTGATCCAGTATAGTATAGTGTGCCATCTAGGGGCTAAATGAGGACAGGAATAATATTAAACTGAGCTGAAGTGAACCATGTTTTATGCTGTACCACCAACTGTTTTTCATTCTACGTTTCACTGCTCACTGAAAGTATTACTGAAGCAGCAAGGTTTCTATATGATGTAATAACTTACGCAGTCCTGTTTATCACGTTAATTTTCAGAATTATAATTTATTAAAACAGCTTGGAAGTATTTTTAATAAGGAATAATTACATTGCAAATATGCGTTTCATTTCAACCTGTCCTGGGAATTAGTTATAAACATTTCTACCATATGTGATGCACTTCACAGGTATACAAAATTGAAAATAAAATGCATGAGGTGCAAGTTTCAAACTGATTCATACACGATGACACCAAATGTTTTTAAGCAACTCAATTTGTAGATGGAATTGAATCGTTGGATGTATAGTTTAACCAACAGATTCCTGCATATAATATTTAATATATTTTCTTTTCATTAAAATTAACAGAAACAATACAAATCTGAGATATCAAACACTACAGTTGAACTCACAAAGGTAAGAATTAAATCACTCAACTCAATTCACTGTACATGTGTTATTTGTCTCTGTAGTCTGCCACTAAACAAATACATACATGTACATGTATACTCACAAATGTTGTTTCATGTCTCAAAATGTTAAGTTCTACTCTGTGTTAACTTAATAATTATACAGTGAATTTCATGTAGGCATTGTCAAGCAAGAAGTTTCCTTTGGTCGTCCCCGATATAAAACATTTAACAAAAGACAGTTGCACTTTATTCTTATCCAATTCACTTTCATTGCCCATAGAAGCCACCTGGTATTGCCATTACCCATAAGTCACTGTATATATTTATAAATCATTGGCCGATTTACTGCCCTGAATCTATTGATGTGTTGTGATTTGTCAAGTTGTTTTCAATCATTATAAAACATAAATATTTTATATAAAAAAAATATTTATGTTTTAATTAGACTCGCTGTATGGAATATTCCATGTACAAAAAAACTTGGCCTACTAACCTTTAACCTTTCCAACACTAACTTTTCCTGTCAAAATTTTTTTTTTAATTTTGCACATTTTTTATATACTTTTCTGTAATTTCTTTGTTAATTTTGAACCGAATAAATATAATTTTCTGTTGGTAACAGATCTTGATCAAAATTTATAAAAAAATATGGAAAAAATTGAATCAGATTTGGTTTGTTTTGTGAAAGGCATTCAAATAGATAAATTAGTAGTCTGAAGACATGTGACTAGTTTTTCATCTAAAATATTTGTAAAATTATATGCTGTAAAAAGACTGTGCAACAACATCACTATGATCAGATGATGTTTTTTGAGGAGGTAGGCACCCCACTTGCTTATATTACTCTTGAAATCAAGACCCTTGAGAGCTAATTATAAATATGAAACATTTTGAAAAGATTTTAATAGCACAACTCGCTAAATCACTTGCAGTATTGAGTTCATGAGAGTCATTATTTTGTCTGCTATTATCATATGACAAAACCTGTAAGGTACATCTCGCATTTAAGATGAGTTCCGTACATGTTTACTTGTCTCTGTAAATTTCCATTTCAAGTGCAGTGACCACCTCAATAGTAAACTGGTTGCAATCCATATCTGGATCCCTGTCATGCACTGATCGTACATGTTTTAACTTTATATATTTCGTAAACTTGAAATCTCACAGGGCCTATGTAATGCTATTACTTGTAATGTTTATCCTGTTTTCTGTATATTATGAGAAATGGGTGACCATGACAGTGTGTTTTCACGGTAATTGTAACCCCAGGCAGTGCTGTGTACAGTTATGCTGTTCGGTTTGATTGAGAATAACAAAGGGGGAAATGCAAATTACTAATAAATGAAATAATGTTGATATCACTCGTCACAAATAAACTAGTTTATCAGTGTTTCAATGTTATCCATGTCTCTTGTAGCTTCAAGAGAAATTAAAGAAGAAACAAGAAAGGTGAGTTTTAATTGCTTTTTATAATTTTTTAGAAAACGTTATCTTGTTTTTATCAGACTTATACACCTGTCACAGGATATAGTTTCACTACATATGCATCATCAACTTCATAATCTTTCAATTTTTTTTTTTTTAGTTTTCTGCAGTTGCAAGCAGCAAAAGATGAGTTATATGTTGAAAATCAGTGAGTATATTTATATTAAATTTATTTATGCTTCAATAGTAAGGTTTTTTTTAAATGTTTTATTTTTATTTTTATTGTGTTTATTTTCTGTTTTTGTTTGCAGGAAACAAATTGAAGATCTCAAGGCAGCAAGGGAAAGGGAGTTGAAGGTAGAGTGATGTAGTATTTTGAATCTTCTGACCACCAGTGTATTCAATAATAACATTACCACAGTACAGGGGAATATATCTAAAGATGAAAAACAGTGGGATCAAGATCATACCATTCACAGAACTTCTGAATTGCTGTATTATTGACATGAACTTATTGACATAAACAAATATTCTTGACTATTTAGACCAAGACTATTTAAAAACAACAAATCTGGATTGAGAGCGTATGTAGATTTCAGACAAATGTCTGCAGAGATCTCGTCGAGATAACCACAAGGTTTGTTTTTTTGCCTCATCCATTGTTCAAGTTACCATGGTTACATACATAGATCAGGGGAACATTAGATACAATGACGACTGAGGGGCAAAAATCATGATCTCTTGTGGCTTCCCTGCTCTTAACAAGATCTTTGCGACTATTTAAATTTATTGACTGATTATTAACATTTTTGTTGACAGGCTTTAATTGAACAGAATGGGAGGATACAAGCTGAACTCACAGCAACAAGTCAGGTACGGATGTAGTCTACACAAACTAAAAATTTATATTTTGTAGCATAGGTTTGTGTAGATAACATCTCAGGTTTTATAGCATGTAAAATGTGTTTGTATGAAAGTACCTTGCTCCTAATGTAAAAATTTATATGAGAAAGTGGCTATCTGTTTTTGTCCTTGTTGTTGTCATCGGTGACTGATCTTGTAACCTTCTAACCTTTTATTCCAATATAGTTGGGTATTTGTACAACAAAGTTGTCAATATATCTTAGTGCTTATGATTTTGCTTCATGATCCTATTTTAAAATGGTTGACGTGTGATCATTTAGGGTGATATTCTTTTATGTGTTTCTAGTTTTTTAATTGTGATTTGTATTTAGGATCATTTCTGTGCACCAGGAAAGTGGAATGCCTTCTACAAAATGTCTGTCATATATCGTATTAGAAGTGCATATAAACAAATAGAATTTGTTGTAGACAGCATCAATACAATATTACTTATTTTGACCATAGAAACACCTTATGTATGTACATGCACTACTATTATATCCTGTAGTATTTTCAACTATTTCCTTCATTTTTACAGAATCTTGATGTTTACCAAGAGCAGGCTCAGCAGAAAGTGCAGGAAATGGAAGGCACAATACAAATGCTACAAGTCAAGGTAAAAATAAAAATACATGGGCAGTTTTATATATCCACCTCTATCTACCCTCTGCTTTCCTATTATTGTCCTCATTATATATGTGTATTTGAAAATAATTTATGTTTTCCTTGTTAAACGAATTACAACAAATATTTTAAAAGAAGGCAATTAATCACATGTAGATGTTGATTGGTGTGGCATGTATTTCATCATTCATTTCAAATCTTTCAAATCAGAACTTGGGTAGATTTAAATTTAAAACCATTTCAGCATGCTATTTTTTTGTTTTGTAAATCATTCTCTTTATCACTTTTCGTTGTTTTTTTCTCCCACTTTCCTCCTGTATGGCATTGTTTCTCCAATTGTCTGGTGTTCATGTAATGGTGTGTGTCACCCCCTGTGTTGGTTTTGTTATCGGCTTCTCTAGGTGAACGACAGTCACCTTCAACAGTATATAGATGAAAATACGTTACTCAAAAATAATTTTGAGAAAGTCCAGCAGGTAGGAGAGATGTCATGCGTTCAAGCCTTGTTTGTTACTGCTTATTTGCATATTTCATGCACCATCTTTAACCGTTTCACCACCAGACTTTCTCGCTCAAATTATTCTGTACTTTTTTTATTCTGTACTTTTTTTGTTATATTCTTCACTATTTCTGGAAGTGAACTCTAATTTTGAAGAAACAGGCAAAATTGGAATAAATTTTACGTTTTGTCTCAAAAAAATTGATTATTTTTGTGAATTAGTGATGAAAAGACAGATCTGGTGGTGAAAAGATTAATCCTCTGAACTTTTCCCACCTAAAATTGTTGATGCAAAATTTGGCACGTTTTGTTGCATTGTCTAGGTTAATTTTGAATTAAAAAGACATAAATTGCCATTTTCTTCAGGTCTTCATCAAATTGCTGGATTAAATATGAACAATTTGTTGTGGGGCTTTTTATTGTGTGTGTGTGTTAGATGATAACATTTTATTTTGGTATTCAAGGGGTTAAACCATTATTAACATGTTTGTCATCAGTTGCAGATTTTTTTGCATTTTAAAAAAAAAAAAGCTTTTCAAAAATTTCATGTTTGAAAAACTTACAAAAAATACTTAAAATTATGCTAGAAAGCATAAAAAGAATGTGGCCACATCTTGGCTTGCTTGAGTTGTACATGGAAAGTTTGTTATCTATTTTATAAAATTTATATTAATATTTTAATTTGTATGATAAAATATGTGTGTGAAGTGTACATAAAAACTTAAAAAGTGCTTTGGCCAAATTGCCATTCATTTCATGTACAATGTAAACTCATCAATCATCTTTATAAATAACTTATGAATGGTTGTATATTTAGTTTTGTTTAGATTTATTTCAAAAATGGTACAAAAACTTTTTCTTGTAGAAGTGCATCTTCACATTCAAATCCTAGTTACTGTATTTCCAGTGTGGATGGTGTTAAACTGATGATAAACAATAAATATGTCTTGAATGCACCTCTATTTTATTTTATTTTTACTAGCTCCATAGTGCACAAGCTGATGAACTAAATCGTTTCCAGGTATGTAAAAATATATCATGTTGCTAGGTTACAGAGGTATTCCAATTACCGGTACACCAGCTTAGTGATCTCAAATCAAAAGACACATATTATGGGATAGCATAGTGTGTCACACATTTTTCTAGGCATTGTGGGTATTGGTATACACAATTCTAATTTGCATATTGTCATGGATACTTGGTATACTTCGATAAAGATGACTTTTCATTATGGACATTAAAAACAAGACCGTAAAATGGTCAAAGTCAAAAAAATGCATTCCTTATCAGCTTAATCTGAAGTGGAAATGATTTAGCGTTTTTAAGCGTGTATGAACTTAAACAATTTGGAGCCTGTAAAGGGGAATAGTGTCTAAATGATATCCACATAAATAAATAAATAAATAAATAAATAAATAAATAAATAAATAAATAAATAAATAAATAAATAAATAAATAAATAAAAGTTGTACTGTGATGACTAACATCATTAATTGATACACAATAAAATGTTGATATTATGGGTGAAAATTATGAAATTAAACAGGCCTCTTAATTTAATTTAGATTTTCAAACAAATAGACACTCACTGAGTATTATATTGCATGTATGTTTGTCTAAGGGATAAGAACCTTCAGTACTCTCAAAATGAAATGTGTGAAAAAATCATGACATGACAGGATATTTTGAGTGTTACATATATTTTAGCAAAAAAAAAATCATTTTTACAAATTTTAAATATGTTTTCAGCTTGTTCTAGTTAGTAATGATATTTTGCATACTTTTTTTTTTTTTGTCAGAGTGTGAATTCCACTTTGACGGAAGAACTGGAGAAGTTACGGGGTATTCACAATAGTCTAGTGGTGGAGAAAGATGATTTACAGTTCCAGTTGACAGAGAGTATGAATTCAAATAGTCAGTTAATGGAACAACTACAGCAGGTGCAGGCCGAGAAGGAGACCGTCATACAGGACCTTGGTGAAGCTACTAAGGTATCGTTTATTTTGTCATATTATTGGTTTAATTGACCCTTGGCCAAAGTCAGTTTTTGCGATCGTTCACAGCAAACATTCACAGCAAACATTCATAAACGAAGACCTGTAGTGAATGGGAAAAAATTGTTGGTAGTAAAAATTATGGGTTTATATACATGAAAAATGAAACATATCGAAACACAATATGTACCGATAATATGTAAATCTGAACGCAGAATTCATTTTTGTCTTGGAATAACAATGCATTAAATACTAAACCAAATATACCATTAGTTGAAATGTACAATTTGAGTTCATAGTGATACAAACCAACTAAATCAACATTTTTTTGGTGGAATTTCTGTCTACCATCATGTGATATAGGAAATCAATTTAGTATTAGTTATCATCTGTGAGGAGCTGCTTTGAGTGTTTGTTAGTGGATAAAATAAATAAATACTATTTTGATTCAAAATTGTTTTCAACCTCAAAACTAGGTGTTCATTATTAGCGACATACAGAGCCAAATGATGAGTGTTAGATCACATGTAACTTTGTGGTTTTATTTTGTCAGATTGCCGATAATAGAAAGTCCATGTTAGATGAAATGGCAATCCAAATTCAAACGACAAAACAACAACATATGGAACAGATCAATAGTATACAAGAAAACAATAAGGTAGGCAGAGTGTAATGTATGCAGTGTAATCTTGTCAGGAATGTTATCCTCAATGATGTCATACTTTACCCATAATCCTTTGCTTGAAAATCAGTATAGCTGACTACATAATACTGATGAAAAGTAGAATATCTAGAGAATGAAAAGTGATATAAAAAAACTGCAAATTGCATTCTCCTACATTTGTGAAGCTTTTTCTTTAGAGGTCATTTTGTTTGGATTGATGTTTCCGTTGAATAAAAGTTGCACTGTGACAACTGACAACATTAATTCTTTAGGTTCCCCACCTTCAAGTTGCATTCCCACTTTGCTCATCTGAGGTATCATCTCTCAGCAAATATATACACAATAAAAATAATAAAATTGAATGGGCCTCTTAAATTACATTTTCATGGTATTTATTACGAGTCATTGTGCACATGAACGGCAAAGAAGATTCGAAAAACAATTCTTTTTTTTACGTTGACATTGCAAAAAAAAAAATGGTTGCAGCAGTACATAAATATGCGTCACTGAAGACATTGTGCATTCATTTCATTTCATTTATTACTACAGCATCTGACCATACATAGCTGCACTTTCCTCTGTCGTCATGTCATACTTGTATGAATCAGTATATGTTCTCATAAAGATTTCAGTTCGTGCCGAGTTTCATGCTGAGTTTCGGCATGTGCCAAGATCTCTAACGTGAACATCACTACAATGAACTACAGGATTAGGTCACATAATGCTAAATCACTGTGGGATTAGATCACACAATGCATTCCTCTATAGATTTGGTCTAATCATTTTAATCCTTAATGGAATAAGCTCATATAATTCTAATCTTCTGAGACTAGGTCTTTATGGTAATTCATTCTTCCGTGAGATTAGATCACATAATGCAATGCTCTTTGGGATTAGGTATGCTTGATGTGTAGATATTGTTATAAAAAATATGCATTTATTCTGTCTTCCTCAGAAAGAACAGGACAGTTTAAGGGAACAACTTTCACAAGAAAAGGTGAGTACAAGTGTATGTCATGATTAGTTTTAGTGGGCCTCAAATAGTGCTGCAGTCAAATGTTTTTTGGTGTGTGGATTGTTGGTGAGGGATGATGGTTTCAGGATGTACAGCTATCCATTCAGTTTACCCTATTTCCTCATTGTACTGTCAGCACAATATACTAAACTAAAATAAAGAATTTAACTTCATTGACATAATTTTATGTTAAATACAGAAAGAACGGAAGGAATTGGAAGTACTCCGTGACAGAGTCCCCCAGTTGGAGAAGGATTTAGCATCAACTGAAAGCCAGAAAGGATGGTTTGAAAGAAGATTAGCTGAATGTGAGGTAAGAAACACATTTCACAGAATAAAGGATTTATATAAGCTGGGTTGTGATTAGTCAACAAAAAAGTAAGGTGTTTCCTAGTTGGCTTGATGGTTGTTTGCTGGGGTTTTGACCCTTGACCCCAATAGCTTGGAAATTTATCACAAGTAGGTTTCTGGTACATGATTAATCATTTAGCCCTGCCAATAATTAATAGGAAAGTTACTGATTGTTTTACTATGTTTTGATGATTGTTTTAAATGCTGATCTATCTGAGGTGAAAATCTCAGAGAAAATTGAACCAAACAAAATAAGTGTACCATGGTGACTTGAATTGAATTGAATTGTCGTTATCAATTATTGAATTATTGGATCAATGTCCCCCGTGAACTCAAGATACGGTAAACGTGGGAAATGTGAATGTAATACTATGAGATAACTTTGATCCGTTGCAGATGTTGTACTGACTGCTTGTACTCCAAGACTGTCTGTGTTTATCTCTACTTAAGTATCTTATCTGTGTCGTCGGTGCCCTTTATAGTGAATTGGATTGTATCATTTTTTAATAAGTTTTACTGCGTTATCAGTTTCGGGCTGAATTAAAGATCAAATGTCAATTTCATCATGTTTATTATTGTAGGTTAATGCCACTTAGATACTGAAAATTTGGATCACATGACAATTCTTTGAGAATGGGGTGTCTGAAATGTCACAGAAACTTATTTGTGCATTGGTTTCTCGTGTGAAGTTATTTCTTGATATCTTGAAATTTTGCTCAGTGAAAAATTAATAAAACAGTTGTGTATTATATTGTTATGAAGCCTAATATTGTTAAAAACATATTTTTAAAATTGACATTTTTTTTAGTCTCTAGTTTGATAAAAGTTTTCCATTATATGAAATGAGAATTTTTTTTTCCTAATGACTTACACATACATGTACCTGTGTTTATACACGATTTAACAATGTCGCGAATTACGTCTTTTGTAAGCAAGTGTAATACACCGTGAAATAATAATAATAATTACTCATTGTGATTTGGGGTACTCAAACATGTTTCTTATTCACATGCAAACTTTGATTTCATCAAATTTTAATGTACACATAAAAATTACACCTGTCTAGTTTTTATAAATAATAATGCTGACATTGCATCATGATCTGGTCACGTCTTAATTTTCATTTGAATGACCTCTTTCAACATCAATACTGACCGTTCAAAGTGGTTTATCCACTCTTGATCCAAATTATGTTTTTCATTTGTTTGTGTTTCTTTTAGAGAGTCTTTGTAACATCATTTCTTGTGTGTGCCTTAACCAATTTTGTCATAATCGAATTCATATGGACATTCATTGTATTTGGTTCTTGTGACCAACTGGTGGCCATTTTTGGAAAAAAAAACACCCAAATCAGGATTTGAACAAGTCATCAATTCTTTCCCAGGCATGTCTTGACAAATTTCAACTTCGTATTCACAGCAATCATCGTGGGTTACAGTTTCAGGTCAGTTTGTTTTGCGATTTAATTCAAGATGGCTGACTGGTGGCCGTTTGGGTTTTCTGATATACAGTACTGTTATCGCGTAAGCTTTGGCCTCACTTCAGCATCAGCTTTGCTTCAGCATCGCATCATTATGGCATTGTAGTGGCTTCAGCGTCGCATCAATGTTGCGACATTAAAAAGTTGAGGCGGTTATTACTTTGCTTTATTGTGACCTCATTATGGCGACACTGTGGCATCAGCATCGCTTCATCAAACGAAGAAGTAATTTACATTTGTAAACAATGCTGAGAAGTATCGTAGTTAGCCGTATATATGTATTCACACAGATGCTCTTTGCTGTCTTGCACGCAAGCTGTATTAATCTAAACGCCCAGTTCAAGCTAAATCATGCATGACCCCATCCAATTATCAAGATTCACTGATTATGTTCGGCGATGAATTGTTTCTTTGTTGGCCATTGGAATCAAGCAGGTAGACATCAGGAATAGATTGGAGGAGGAAGATCAGGCGTTGGTTTCTAAAAATTCGATCAGCAAGTTTTTAAAACGTAATGGCATCGTACTATGTTTTTAATATTTAAAACTACAGTGGTAAACCTGGAGAAACAAAACAAATGTGAATTACTTTGACCAGGTTCAGTACAAAGTAACAACAGAGTTACGTAAATCCATAGCTACCATTGGCTGGTGGTGCCATCAAAAGTTGGCGAGTGAGGTCGAGACATGGACAATATGTTCTGTGCTAACTTGATGGTTATATCTAAAGCGGTTATTATATTATCTAATTTGAAAACGTCTTGTATCATTTCTGTAATGTTAGTTGCTGACCACATGGTTTTATTTTACGTTCGACTATGTCATTGATGTAAAAACAAACAATTTTTCTTTGTCACAGCATTTGTTTTGACCTCTGTGCTTCCGTGCATGCGTGTGTCCGGCCGGATCTGTATCTTTGAAATGCCTGGACCAATCATAATCAAACTTCACACATACATCATACACGATATTATACATATGCACATCAATTTGTTTCACGATCTGATCCAAGATGGCTGAATGGCGGCTATTTTTGTGCTAAAAAATCATCAAAATCAAGCATTTCTCAGCTGTTTACAGATGGATTTTGTTCAAACTTGGTATATACGTTGGACATTATAGGACCTTGATGCACATCACTTTGTTTTTTCAGATAAGATTAAAAATGGCCGACTGGTGGCCATTTTGTTTTAATGAATGTGGTTCTTGTGCCATATCTCTGACTTGCTGTGACTGATTATGTTCAAATTTTAAATATTCATTATACATCATGTCATAGATATACAAATATATTGGTTTGACGATCCTATTAAAAATGGCCGAATTTATGGATGGATTTTGTTCAAACTTGGTACATACATTACGGGTTCCTGATGAACATTTTTTATTTTTTAGAACGAATTCAGAATGGCTGACTAGCGGCCATTTTGTTTTAATGAATGGGCTTCTAGAGCCATATCTCTGACATGCTTTGACTATGTTCAAATTTTATATATTCATTATACATGTATTCAAAATAACTGATTTTGTTTTAATTAATGCTGTTCCAGAACAATATCTCTCAATACTCATTTGACAATCAAATACAAATGTCAAGCATTTGAATGTTAAACAATCATCATATCATAATCATATTCCTGACATGTTTATATTCCAGCTATATTACTATAAACAAAACTATATATCTTAAATTCGATAGCTAACTGGGACTGTGCCATGCATGGCTAGTTCTCTACTGCCTTTCTGTGTGCAAATAATGAGGTCATACTGATGACACAAATTTTGAAGCTGATGCCATGAGACTGCGAAGCTGAGACCACGATGATGCCACAAAATTAAGTGATGTGAACACAGCTTCAATTCAATTTGCCACAAATGCCAAAGCTTACACAATAACTGTACTGTACCTTGACCGATTTTGTTTTAAAGTTGGTACAAAGACGAGCAATAATGGTATACACACATCTGTTTGTTTTTTGTTTCTATGTTCATTGGCTGACTGGTAGCTATTTTTGTGATGGGTACATTTTTAACTTGATGAGCACCATGACCAGAAACAATTACGTTCATCAACCTAACAAGATCTAACAAGTTTATATATCTTTCTCCTGAATCACATTAAAATAAGAGCCCTATCACCATGACAACTGCCCTTTGGGGCCTATACAACTCTGTGTGCCACATATAAATAATTGATATCAGTTTTAAATCAGTCTGTCTCGTCTGAGTTTGAAGTCACTCAGGGTCATCGCACACAGGTCTAACTTCAGCATGATAATAATCAGATTTTAGCGATTCCTTGATTTGCAATGATTTACCAGACACTTTAATTTTAAAACTTAAGTGTTTGCTATCAAAAAAACATACCTTGAGACTACTAAAACCTGAAAGAATTGAATTCTCTTAAAGAATATGTTAAACCCTATGTTGCCATTTATCGCTTGAATGGTAGTTTGAATAGCTGCTTGGCCGTAATATATCTGTGTAATATAGCTAGCTTTATTATTATTGCTATATTGCTAATATGATTTTTGTATTCTTGGTATTTTAATTTGAGTTTACAATATATATTGTTGAAATTTAGAACACTTTTCACACTGTTTTCCAGTAATTAATTTTTTTTCCCCCATTTTTACCTTGTCTATATCAATGAAGGGAAAGATATATGAGGGGGGAAAAGTCTGTTTTTGGTGTTGATTATTTAATTTATATTCTCACAGAGTGATAATTATGAGTGAGATAAACAGTCTAGTTTGTATACATCCTGAATTCTTTATTTATGTCTAGATTCCCAATGGGCAAGGTTGTAATAGTTCTGCTATGTTTTTCTACTACAATCTGAACATAGAGGGCCAAATGAACTTAAAAGACATGTTTAATAGTAGTATTTGGAGTAGTTAATTTTTAGCTCCGCTGTCATCACGGTTGACAGAGCGGAGCTGTTCATATATGTGATTGTCCACTATCGTCGGTCAGATTCATTCTTTTCATGATGAGAACTTCAATGCTGTATTTTTGGTAAATATTTGTTGTCATTTGTGGTAAAAAAAGGATATTTTCCAATTCTTTTTGAACCCTTGAGGTGTACATTAATTTTGTGAACTATCTGTTCTAGACTTGGCTACCACAGTGTTCTTGTAGGACAGCTGAGCTATTTCGTCCGTCAGGTCAGTTGTTATTAAATAGTGATTGGTCCAAAAAACAAGCAGAGCTGTCCTAGGATGATAAAGTTGTAAATTGCAAATCAGACAATTTTTGTAAAATCATTTTAGAGTTGCCAATGATTCTACTCGTGCATGTTTACCAATCAATGAAGACATTAATGAATATTCTGTCATCGTTGATTCAAGGAATTGTTGAAACAGAAAGAAGAAGAACATCTAAAAATTGAAGAAGACTTAAAGGAAATTCACAACAAAGAAATTGAGGTACATTCATTATTGTTTGATCTATTTCAAATACTGAAGTAAAAGTCCCATAGAACAAAAAATTATGCCTCCCTAGCACAGTGAATTATGTCCTCTATGTAACAGTGTGTTATGCCTCCCTAGCACAAATTATTATGTCTTTCTAGCACAATTATGTCTCTGGCGCAACAATTTTTGCCTCCCTAGCACAATGAATTATGCCTCCCTAGCACAATGAATTATGCCTCCCTAGCACAATGAATTATGCCTCCCTAGCACAATGAATTATACCTCCCTAGCACAGTGAATCATGCCTACTTAGCACAGTGAATCATGCCTCCCTAGCACAGTGAATCATGCCTCTCTAGCACAATTAAGTATGCCTTCCTAGCACAATTAAGTATGCCTTTCTAGCACAATTAAGTATGCTTTTCTAGCACAGTTAATTATATCTCCCTAGCACAGTGAATCATGCCTCCCTATCAAATTTGCCTCCCTAGCACAAGGAATTATGCCCGCCTAGCACAATGAATTTTGTCCCCCTAGCACAATGAATTTTTACTCCCTAGCACAATAAATTATAAATGAATATTCAATATGATAGGGAAGCACAGCTGTATATCACTAATCAGTATCTATGTTTGGATTCCCTTCTTTGTTATGCTTGTTGTCATGTGCGCTATTGTGACATAATCGCAAATGTGATTCTCTCATTAAAGGTCAAACATGATGAGTTGAATGTGAAAGATGACATCATTAAATCATTAGAGGAACAAATAGAAGGAAAAAACAAAGACATTGAGAATGCAAAACAAGTAAGTGTTTCCAGATGGAAACTATCACAACGCAGATAATTCAAATTATAACTATGGAGATAGAGTAGCGTACTTTGAGAATTGCATTGTACTCCATATGTTGTTGTTATGTTGATGATATTCTTTGGTCGGCTATTTCATAATCCCCAAAATTGGTAAGATTCGTCTAAATTTATTCTCTTGAGAACCAAAGTCAACAATTGTCTCTATTCGCAAAATAAACTTGCATAATTTGTCCAATATATTTTTATAGATTTTGATCAAGACCTCTAGCTAATAGAAAATTATACCCATTCAGACCAAAATTTACATCTAAATTATAAAAAAAAAAATTACTTCAAATTGTGCAAAATGTTGCATCAACATTGTCACATGTATAACATGTGGAAAATTCCCTGCTGACAGCGCCCTCATAAGTCAGCGTTCATTTTGCGACATTCTGCTGTGACCCAAATTCATTCATGCAATAAGCGATGGACAATGAACTAGGTTACTCTTTATGATTGCATTGAACTGACCTCCATTCGTCAAACTAACAGGCCATGCAACATACAATTAAAGGATTCTTTCTCTCATGTTGGCTGTTGCTAGGAAACAAAAGATATGTTTGAAGAGAAAAAGATAGCCGAGAAGAAAGGTTTTTCTATGGTGAGTGGTGTCTATTCCCATTCATGTGGTAATTTACAATTGCTTGATTTTACATCACAATGTTATATAATGTTGTCTTCTGATCTTCGATTTCTCTGAATTCTCCGCTTCATCATCAAAATGACATCTTCATTTCCGAGAAGGTCAATGCCTACTTAAAATTTCCTTTTGAAGTTTTACCTGGCAGAAATTAAGTCATCCACTTTTTGATTTATAGTTTTTAATTAAAATGTACGACATTTTATTTGTTTTCAATACCTGATGAAACTAGTGAACCTTGCAATGTCACTTTGCCCCATTGTCTGTCACTTTGTCAGTGATCCAGATTGTCGTATGTTACGATGTTTCCACCTTTCTAAATGCTACTTTGTTCAATTTTGTTTTGTTCATTTGTTGATCAACATGATCCCAATGAATTATTAGTTATCATTGAGTGTCAATGAGGAACACAAAAACAGATGTTTAGGGATTAGAAATAATGCTGTCATGATTTCCGTGATTAACGTTTTCCAGGCACCCATTCCTTACTGTGAAGTTGTTGGCCCTTCAATGAAAAAGATGTGCGCGTGGAATGGGAATAAATAAATTTTTCATGTGTACAGTATTTATACCTTCAAGTGGTTTTGAGTGTTCAGTCACCTGCACATATATGTACAAACTAAAAATAATGTCACTGCTTTACAAGTTTTTTTTTCATAACAGAAATCATTTGTTTAATGTAAGTTTTCCCCAGTTTGAATTCTAACAAATTTCCATATAATAATGAAATTAAATTGCCATAAAAATTGAACTTTTGATCATCTTCTTGCTGTGAAAATTCAACTTTTGAATGTTTGATTATCTTCTTTCAATGGTCTTAAGATAGGTGTTTATCTGAAAAAGCTTCCAGTGCTCCCATTACCATTTTCTGTGTCTGTCACAAAGCTAGCACTGACAACCACTCTTTGAAGACGCATCTTTTTTAAGGGATTGAGTCATCATCCCAAACACCTGAATTCAAGACTCTTATGATACAGTGAATCATCATATTATTTTTGGACCGTTTTTTCTCTCTGATCAGACCAGAAATACATCTAATGAGTCACCCAACCTGAAAAATATTGCAAGTCTTATTTTTTGTACTAGATTGTATCTTGTTTTATCTGTGTACTCCGTACGTTTTGGTGTACAGTTTCTTTGTTTATTAATTAATTATTGCGACAATTTTCGTCACATGTTTTATAATTAATTCAGTGTTCATCTCATCTGTCATTGTATAATTAATGCACTTGTAACTTGATAATTGTTTGTGATATCAGAATGAACCTCCGGCACTCTCGCCTTTTAAACAGGACTGATTTTGTAGAAATTCTGAATCAAAATGGAATCCCCTGAAAATCATGTTGATTCAGCTAGTTGATTGCTGGGGAGGTCGGTCTTCGGGGAAAAAAATAAAATTGTATGTGGCACAAACAAAAATGTTGTTCCTGATTTCCTTTGTGAATTTCATTTCACCAAATTACAAATTTTGTAACTTGTTCAATCTATGATTTTCTGTCAATACCAGAATTTTGAGCAGGTGGTCGTCATCGCTAGATATCATATTGGGTATGGGTCCCATGCAACAAATACAATTGTTATGATCATGATTTCAGGTCAAGGATCTGAAGCGACAGTTACACCTTGAAAGAAAGCGTGCAGAGAAACTGCAGGAGAGGCTGCAGGAGATCCTATCAGAGAACAGTGGAATGAAAACCAGCGTAGATGAATTGTTTCATCATTACAATTCTGACGAGAGGCACGTAGGCGACAGTAGCAGCGTATCGTCATGGGGGACCAGTTTGAAGGACAACTCGGAACACAATCAGGTATAGTCAGCCATTGATAATTTTCGCAAACCAAATTTACAAAAATTGATTGAAGTAAATAATGAAACGAGGTAATTAGGAGATGGTTTGAATTCACAACCAACCAACATCATAATATTTATAAAAATGTTTATTGTAGTCACTGTAAATTGCAAGTCTTTAGCCAGATGAACCAGTCTGGTGAATAGCGACCTCACACCAGAATTAATGGTTAGCCCCCCCCCCCCCTCAAAAAAAAAATGACACAGTTCTGATAACATGCAGTTCAATTCAAACCTTATTTTATTTTCTCTTCATTGGTGATCGTTCACTCTGTGTTAAATGATGTAGTAAAGGCTTCCCACATTTGGCCAAAATTCGCGATAATAAATTCAGATTCTTATGTGATTTTGCACCATTTTTCCCATGTTTAGGCGAAAAACAATTTAGAGTGGTCAATAAATTCAATAGTAATTTAAATTTAATAATAAATTTGAGGTACTTATGTAGGGTGTGGTTATCAGAACCATGTATATTCTTGTTGAAATAGCATCTTAAAAGCCAACCTCCATTAATTCATTCAAAATATAGTGGATGTCGTTTAGCTTTACTATCACGCATGTTGTGGGAAAGCAGCTTTTCAATGAATGTTTCATCCTAACGATACATATTAACTGTTACTTAGGGAGTCCTGAGGAGAGCTTAGCATCTACAAATGTAGCTTCAACGTACACATTTGAAGACTTCTTAGTGAAGGCAAAAAAAGCTCCACCCAATTTCTCTGTTGTCACAAATCTCTGCATATTAATTACCTTATTAGCATAATGAAATTAATTACAGAGATACTAGCTGCCTGGTGGTTGATTAATATGATTGTGTTACTAATTATTCATAAAAAAAATAATTAGCCATTTTATGACACATGTTTGTTGTTGCTGCTATTCATAAGGAACCACTATCTGTTAAATACTGTAAAATACTTTATTTACACTTGGAATTTTCGCTATTTTCGCTGAAAGAATGATCCAGTGAAAATAAACTTCAGCGAATATACCTTTTTTCCGATACTTTACGTTCAACTCGTCAAACATCAGTGAAAATAAATTCCATACAAAACACACAAAAAGTCTATTCAGCGAAAAATTATTCCAGCTAAAATAAAGTATTTTACAGTATGTAAGAATATGTTAAAAGTATGTATAATGTAACATAACAGTTTCAATGAACTCATTTGCATTTATTCAATCAAATATGACCAAACTTTCTTTGATTCAGTCTTTGCTTCCAATACCTTCAGTGCCTGGGAGCTTATTCTAAGCTTTCTTTGATTTCTTTCATCTGCAGCCTGCCACATCGGAAGTGTCGAATACTGCAATCAATGAGGAAACTAATGAGTTACTTGCTAGAATAACTGAAATACAAGAACAGAAGTGGTTAGCGGAAGAGAGGGTAAGTCTTCCTGTCAATCAGAAACCCTAACTTCAGTATTAACTACTAAATCACGGATAGCTATGCATTTAAGCAGCACCAGAGCACTAATCACATTGCGTTTTTTCTTCTTACCTTCATAATGAGATCCACAGTACATAGGAGTTTTTATTCACTGTTTACATTATGTAGTCATGGAAACTTTTATTTTTTAGTTTAAGTTATTGTGGTCCGACATGCATTGATCAGGATGTATGATTTGGCAGTGTTTATTTTTGATGGTTGATAAAATAATCACTAACGCAAATGTTGACATAATGTTAGTGATTAACTAAGCTAGATGAAAGTATTGTATTTAGTAATATTCAACCATACATTAGTATTACTTCCTATCCTCGGGGGCGGAGCTACGTCACAGACGTTCCACGTTGCTACGACGCGCACCACTGTACATGCATTTCTATGGGCTCTGTGCGCGCTGCTTTGGAACGCTGGTCGAGCCGGTGAAAATTCGAGAAAACAACACAAACTCAACTTTGAAGTAATCCTGAACAACCAAATTTATATATGTTACACACGTAGGGCTAATCTTGTTACACTGTTCAGAGGAGTCTCAACAATCATCCCAAAGTACCGTTTTCTGCGAGTTTTGGGCCTTTGTTTTCACCGCCGCGGGTCGCCAGGCGGTGAAAATGCCCGGATGTCCGCCCCCGAGGATAGGACTTATCCATTTAGTGAATTTGTGTGAGGTTCAGATGTCAAAGAAGCGTGAATAGCAGTTATTTGCCAAGTTTGTTTTCCTGCATCCTTTAAATAAACTGTAGAGGGCGCTGATCATTTTGGTCTACAGACGAAACCTATGCGTTACTGGTGTATAAGGAAACTTTGTTGCTTGATGTCTGATGACTTTCACATTTGGTGTTAAAAGTCTTGTTTTGGATGTGCATTACCACAATGGAGTAAAGTTCGTTTTAATCAAAATTAATTTTTGCTGAAAAAATACTTTAGGGCCACTTTATTTATGCAAGAACTAAATTTGTTGTCGCTTTTGTGAATCATGGAAAATAGCAAAATATGGTGACAAAATTGTTATTACCGGAAAAATTATTACTTTGCAGTATATTGTATAGGAAGTGTTAAAAGTAAAGTATTCTTACATTCCTTCTTTTTTTTTGGTCCTGAGACTGTAAAATCGCCAATAATGGATCTCTTCAGTGTAAGAGATATATATATAATTGTTTTGTTGTTGATAATGAATGGATTCTTTTGTCTGACAACAATACATATAAATTGTTTTTTTTTTGCCAATAATGGATCTCTTAGTGTAAGAAAGATATAAATTATTTTGTTTTGTCGATAATGGATCCCTCGGTCTGAGGGGATATATATAATTGTACATTTTCTTAGGTCAATCACTTAGAAAACAGCAATGCCTGTATGGCTGACGATTTGATGAAGAAAAGTGCAATTATACAAGCCTATGTAATGGACAGATCAGGTAAGCAAAATGTACCCACAGCCGTAACACGTGTGCGCTCAGTCTGCAGTGGCCTGTGAAAATATACAGTTTCCTTCACCATGACGTTGTATGAACACCAAAGGAAACTATGTTTATTTGCATGTGAAACGAGTCGCACGTAATGATAGTAACCACCATACCAGGTGATGTTATCGTACTGCCAGACACGTTGCTACTGATTACCAAATGTGCCATCTTTCCAGTTTTGTTCCACCTCAGTACGCTTCAGTTGTTTGTGCAGGAGAAAAAATTGCTCGAACAGCACAATTTTTGGTAATGTGAATTTTACTTGAGGCTGACTGCAAAAGGAATATTTACACGTTGTTGGGGGTATCGTATGTAGCTTGCAGCTATATAACTGTAATTATGTGTATTAAAGTTCACGCTGTACAAACAAACAAACTCTAATTATCGCTATAGCTATCACTTAGTGCAGGGTTGTAATGTACTGCTGTGACCTTCTGTGACTATCACCATGGTAACATCATGCTTCTCAAAAAAACTATTGATATATGCGTATACAATTGTGTATTTTGTTTTCTTTTTTTACCCGAATGATGAATTTTCTCTCAATTCTTTGAAAGATGAGATATTTTGCATTCACATAGCGGCTAAAAATTTAAGAGACTCTCATTTCTTTCCTGATAAATTTGGTAATTTGTTTTCCAAAATCAATTGTTTTAAAATTGCTATAAAAATTTGTGCTTTGATGATTTTTCATGAAGTGTTTTTTTTATCATTGTAAAAATCTTTAAAAAAAAAAACATTTTTAATGATGACATGTACATGTTGACCAATAACATGTCTCTGTGCCGAGCACAAATAAATCACTTGCACATGTTTTGTTTTTATTCAGAGTGATCACATTTTTTTGATTGCCGTAGTAATTTATTTATTCTCTTCATGACTTGATGAATAGATTGTAATTTTTTGCAATCCATCAGACGTTTCCCATATGTACTCAACAACTGAAGACCAGTTTGATTGTTTTTTTTGCTGCAAATGTTGATGTTTGTGGACAACAATGAGCGACTTTATTTTAAAAAATTGTTGATATTTCTATTCCTATTATATACATCTGTGGAATCCCAGTGGTATAATTATCACGGTGATAGATTTAATTGATGTGGCAATTAACATTACAAATATGTGTATATTTTCACCGTAATTACCACTTACTATCAATTCTGGAGGTCAAAAGCCCGCCACATGGTGCTGTTATTATTTGTATAACCCTTACTGCATTACAGTTTCATTTTATTTTGAAATTTTCGTCCAAACATCATGGCGTATTACAACTGAATTAGTACATTAGTCAGTGCATAATAATTATCTAATTTGCATATTCAAATTATCTAATCCTAGAATATTTGTTTACTCCAAATCAAGCTGCTTAATATTTAATTTTTGTACACTTCCTAGTCAATGACTTATAATCAGTTTGTGAAATTTACAACTTTACAACTTTGCATATTTTTAAGTGCCATTCTATGCATACATATACTTTAGGAAATAGAAAAAAAAATCATGAATTTTGTTTCTCTGTTTTTCTCGTCTATTATACCTGCTGCATAAAAACTACTAAATATAATTAATATTCGTTTTATAGATATAAAATTACTACAATATAAAAAAATTGCTATAAAAAAGCCTTACAAAATAGGTTTTGCATGTTATCATATATGTGTGTCACTTTGTGAACTGAACATGCATCCATTACAATATATGTTTGCATGCTTCCTACCACTCATCAGCCTTTCATCAATTACTGCATATGCCGCTATTGACATTTCAAAAAAAAAAAGAACGAAAATGTCTGTTATTTTTTTCCACTCCATTGTTTGGGTGTTTGTGGTGGCTGGCTCAATGCGGTATTACACATGGATATATGAGCCGACATGGACGTTTGTATTGTCATTAATGTATTATGGGGTTGTCTATGTAAACCAGACCAATACAAACTGCACTGCACGCATGGTAACGTATTGACACGCCACAGTGCTAAGCAGTTTGTTTCTTCCTCTCTGGGGAATATAAAACAAAGGCTGATTCTGTCTGTTTCTTATTTAACAGTACTGTTTGTTCCCTCAGCAGTTAATACCCTCACGCTGTATAAATCATGTTACCATTAAAAGTATTTGCTTCTACTCAGTCTACTTTTTCATATAATCAATTGTCCATTGTTTACTCACTTGTTGATATAGCCATGGTGGTATTCCAATGTTATTGACATTTAGACTCTCTTGCCTCTTGATGTTATTGACAGTTGAATATTGATGTACCAAATGTAAATGTTTCATGTGCTAGTGTGAATACTTTATGTGCTAATATGAATGTTTTATGTGCTGATGTAAGTGTTTTATCTGCTAATGCAAGTGTTTTATGTGCTAATGTGAGTGTTTACATGCTGGTGTGAATGTTGTATGTGCTAATGTGAATGTTTCATGTGCCAGTGTGAATGATTTACGTGCTAACATGAATGTTTTATGTGATAATGTATGTATTTTATGTGCTGATGTAATTTCGTAAGTGTTTTATGTGCTAGTGTGAATGTTGTATGTGCTAGTGTGAATGTTGTATGTGCCAGTGTGAATATTCTATGTGCTAGTGTGAATTCTTTATGTGCTAATGTGTTTTATGTGCTAGTGTAAGTGTCTATGTGCTAGTGTGAATGTTGTATGTGCCAGTGTGAATACTTTATGTGCTAATGTGAATGTTTTATGTGCTAATGTGTTTTATGTGCTAGTGTAAGTGTCTATGTGCTAGTGTGAATGTTGTAAGTGCTAGTGTGAATGTTTTATGTGATAATATGAATGTTTCATGTGCCAATGTATGTGTTTTATGTGCTAATGCATGTGTTTTATGTGCTAGTGTGAATGTTGTATGTACTAGTGTGAATGTTTTACGTGCTAATGTGAATGTTTTATGTGCTAGTGTGAATGTTTTATTTGCTAATGTGAATGTTTTTTATGCTAATGTGAATGTTTCATGTACTAAAATGTAAATTTTTGATGTGCTACTGTGAGATTTGTATATACTTATAGTTATCCTATGTACCAGTACAGATCCTAAAGTTTATAATTGAATGATAGTAATATTAATAAACTATTGTGTTATATATCGATGCAGGTCACTGTAAACTACTTTGGTGTGTCATTACAGTCACTGATCTTTCAGAGAGGATCTATGTTCCTGCTTTGTGTTTCCGCTTGTAAATCCCCACCATTATCCTGGTTATCCCCTACAGCATTGTAATAGAAGCTGACTTTGCTCTCTTCTCAGAAATGACACCATCAACTCCTGAAAGGAAAACAACATTACATAAAATGCTGGACTTGGTGAAGGGGGACGAGTCTGAGATTAGCGCCAAGGAATTCAACAAAAAGTTGCAGCGAATGTTGGAAGAAACGCTGACAAAAAACATGCACCTACAAAAGGTACGTCAGCAATGACATTATTGTCACGTGATTGTCGCTATTACGTCACAACTAGTGACGCTGAGTTATCTTAAAATCATTTCCTCAGATATTATCATGTTCTCCTTAATTTATTCTATAGCAGACTTTATCAGAATCACATTTCCATCAGGTGAATGATACACACAAATTAAAAATTATAACTATTGTACGCTGGATCATTAAAATATGACCATAAACCATAAACATATCTCTGTCATTTATCGAAGCACATGTACAACTACTAATATGCAAATATGGTAATTGTGTGTATGGTAATTTAGAATTTTTAGCTTGGAATTTCAAAATAGTACATTTAAAGTGAAGTGGTTTGTTTATTGGGTATTCTGTAATTTTGAATGAGTAGAATGGAGGGGGAGAAGGTAGTAATTATGTGGTGTACACTCCTGTAATACAGTCAGTCTATGCCAGGTCACATGCTAATTACTTTGATTATTACATGTAAGGGAAACAAATGCACAAGTCTGTAATGTTCATCAGCTTTACTGTTAACTTTTGCATATACATATGAAAGAAATGTCAGATTTCCTCACATATATTGTACTTCTGACACCCCTTGCTGCATATTGGACTATTCCATATGCTTATTGGCCAATTTTAGAATGCTATACATTTCTTTAGAGCATGGTGGTACACATGCTGACTGCAGTATAGACCAAGAGAACCACTGACTGTTTTAATTCCGTTCTGCTCCTAAACTCAACAGCAAAGATTTATTACAATTTGTAATGTTCCTTTCCAGTTCAGTGCCTGATGCAGTTTTTTGTATCTTTATTACTATTATTTGTAATTATAATAAAACGAATGCAGTTCTCACAGTGGTCGATCAATACTCTGTTCAGGCGACCTACAAAGTTAATCGCGGACAACCGTTATAAATGTGGGAACTACCCATTCAGTTCAAACCTGGTGAATGCAATACTTGGTTCAATATGGAATTTTGTGATTATGTTTTGTTGTCGTCCCTGGCAACATATTTATTTTTTTCATATTTTTTTTTTATTAAAAAAAAAATCATACAGACACCTCAAACACAGAAAATAGAATATAAAAAGATAAATTATATGACAGGTTTTAAAGCAAACATTTGCACTTTCAATATAAGAACAACTTTAAAGGAATTTCTCATTGTTGACAGTATGCCTGAACATATTGTTTTCAAATATTTAGCATCAAATTGTTTTATTTCTTATTTTATGCATTGTAAAGAAATATGATTGAACATAGTGCATTGTTATAATTATTAGGTTCTATCACAAATGTTGAAAAAAGTATTTCATTTCATACATTGTTTTGAAGAAAAAATTTCTAGCATACCGGGTACTACCAAGTTTGTTCCTCCGTGTCGGACGTGTGTGTGTAATGTCTGTATTACAATATATATTTATGTTGTAAATTATGGCACATGTTGCATCTGTCTCATGAGCATATTGCATCTGTCTCATGACACATGTTGCATCTGTCTCATGACACATGTTGCATCTATCTCATGACACATGTTGCATCTGTCTCATGACACATGTTGCATCTATCTCATGACACATGTTGCATCTGTCTCATGACACATGTTGCATCTATCTCATGACACATGTTGCATCTGTCTCATGACACATGTTGCATCTGTCTCATGACACATGTTGCATCCATCTCATGACACATGTTGCATCTGTCTCATGACGCATGTTGCATCTATCTCATGACACATGTTGCATCTGTCTCATGACACATGTTGCATCTGTCTCATGACACATGTTGCATCTATCTCATGACACATGTTGCATCTGTCTCATGACGCATGTTGCATCTATCTCATGAGCATGTTGCATCTCTCTCATGACACATGTTGCATCCATCTCATGACACATGTTGCATCCATCTCATGACACATGTTGCATCCCTCTCATGACACATGTTGCATCTGTCTCATGACACATGTTGCATCTCTCTCATGACACATGTTGCATCCATCTCATGACACATGTTGCATCTGTCTCATGACACATGTTGCATCTCTCTCATGACACATGTTGCATCTATCTCATGACACATGTTGCATCCATCTCATGACACATGTTGCATCTATCTCATGACACATGTTGCATCTGTCTCATGACAATGTTGCATCTGTCTCATGACACATATTGCATCCCTCTCATGACGCATGTTGCATCTATCTCATGACACATGTTGCATCTATCTCATGACACATGTTGCATCTATCTTATGCCATAAAACTTGTCAAGACTGAAACACTGGTTTGCATTCCATTCTTCCTGGTCTGACATTGTTCAAATCTGTCTCAAATCCATTTGTTGGTGTTCTGTTCTACACAAGTCCCATTTCTATGCTGAATTTACTGTTTATAATATTAATATCTTATCTTTGTGTATATTTTTCAGGATATCGAAATGTTATCTGATGAAATAGTAAGACTGAGTAAGTTAAGTGTCACTGCCAATCAATCAAATAATGGACAACCAAGCAAGTAGTACATCAGGAATTTCACTGTCAACAAATAAAGAAGTGTTAATCTTGTATAAAGTTTTATCCCGATTTGAAGACTGAGAACAAAATTCTGTCGAAATGAAAGTTGTGTCTGTGCAGTAGAACAGTGTATATGCTCAAAGTTAAGTACCGGTAGTTAGAAATAACAATGATGGTTTTAATAATTAAAGAATATTTTTCTCTTCAAATGCGATAGATAATATATATATATATGTATAGTCTTTATCTGTGATTATTAGAGATAGGTGGCTTGGATCGCTATGGTTACTTCCAAGGTTATGGGTAATCACTGACAACTATTTAAACTTGATGTTTAATTCAATGAAGGCTACGTCTGCCATTATTCATTAGAAGGTCCAAATCTGAATGACCAGAATGTTAATTTTGTTCAGCTCTGTCGGAGTGTTTAAAACGAGTACCCAGACAGTTAATTAGTATGGAGAATATTTAACAATGCAGTTTGTATGATTTGTATTGATGCAATTTCTCAGCTTTGAGATGTGTAGTTCTACCCAATATGTACATGATAGTTTATACAGTAACCATGGATCTGAGCTTTCACTTGCTGGATTAATGTGCAGAAATTGAAATATTTCAAACCGTGAATCAAATCCTAATAAATTATGCGGTAATTTTTTAATGTAATCTACATTTTTACTGTATTCTTACATGTAGATGCAACTTAGTTTCCATGATAAATATTGTATATACACCCACCAAAATTAGTCTTATTCTTCTTAACAGAAACAAATTTATAAATTGGTTATTCAGATTTTACCCTGTAATGTTTGCAAGGCAACCTATGCTTGAATAACGCTGTGATTCAATTACTAAGTACTGATTTTTTGGGTATTCTCTTAAACTGATATCTAAACAAGCATGTAATAACTGTATTTATTTCATCACAAACATACAATGTGCAATGTTTTTTTTGTTTTTTTTTTGTAACAGCTATTTTTACCATTAGGTCACTTGTAGTTTTGATAATCACTTTAAATTCTATTAATAATGATGTCTGACTACTTGATGATACAGTACGTGATAGCACCTGTTGTTGTTTACATATACTTAAAGGCAGAGTGTTTTGTTGGGTGGTCTTTGCGAGACAGGACATGTACGAGTCCAACCTGCATTGTTATATTCTTAATTATAAACAACAATAGCCTAGTTCAATTCAAGGACAATTCTTTTTCTTCTTTCAGTTTCTGATTTCAATTGTAATGGCACATAGGAGGAGAGGGGTCTTTTGAAAGTTTGAACGATGATGTTCCATGGGTGGGTATGAGATATGTTCATTTATATTGATATTCACAGCGTCATGCTGGTATCGATATGATCTGATTTGTTGTTGTATTTCAATCAATACAACATTGTCCACTTGCACTCCCAAAGCATTTCCCACAAAGCTGCGAGTGTTTTGGATTGATTATCAACACTAGTACTGTGGCTTTTTGATAACCGTTCCCTCATGAACCTTGTATGTATGTATATGTCAGATTTAATATATTACTGGTATTATATAACATTATTGTGGTTTGTTCACCCAGTGTTAAAATATATTATCACTTTTTGATGACATAAATGCATATTTAGAAAATGATGTGTGTCTATTTTGACCTGCCATACTGAATCAAACGTTGGATGTACCGGTAAGTCCTGAAAGCTATTTTCCATTGTTGCCAAAAATGAAAAAGTCAAGAAAATACACGATTTCTCATTGCTCATGGGCAATCTTTTGTGGTGGGCGGAGTCTCAGATAAGGTAATTGCAAGAATACTATATAAGGATTCATTTTTCGCTGGTATTTAACTTCTTTCTGATCACTATTTTTTACTGTGTTTTAAATTCAAAGATTTTTCACTGAATCAATAAGTTCTTTTTTTGATTTTACATATCCACATGGATTTCATTTAGTGAATTTTGCTTACTACTGGCTAAAGCCAGCAATTGACCTTCACTTGCAATGCCAAGCAACAACGTAGTGATTGAGCTGCACCTTTGTTCTTGACAACTGACTTCCACTGTCTGTCTATTATTTGCGAGCTATACAATCGGTTGGGTTTATTAACGGTGTGGGAGGGGTGGAAATACCATAACATTGTGCAGGACAAAACAAACATAAAATCCTAAATCCAATGTTATATTGAATAGGGATATCAATACTGAGTTTACTTGAGTTTTTCCCATGCACATGTTATTGGAAAAACTAAATGATGATCAAAGAACTGCACTGCTTTAATTCCTGCTTTAATGAGTGTTCGATGTGAAACTTTCGCTTTGCAAGTACAGGTTTCTTATTTTGACAATTCAAAGATATGCCGGGGCTGGGTGTATCTCAACCATCCAATGACTTATTGCATAAAATTAATACTTTCCATAAATAAGTGACCATATTTGTACTTTCAAATAATATTTGTTACTGACAGGTTGAAGTTTGTGTCTGCTGGTGGTAAAACTACAATATAACTTGCGAACCATTTCGGATAACCCATACTATTATTTAATAATTTTTTTTCAATCATAATTTGCATTTATACTTTGATTCAAATTGAAATCGAACATTATTTTACGTAACACGTCTTTATCAAAGACACTGCTTCAAAAAACAACACTTGAACTTGTTTGCAAAAGTGCAATTTAATCACAACAAACAGCAAGTTTTTGTAGAATTTGATTTTATTACATTACTTCACATAATACCTGGGCATTTATTTCACATTAATATTTATTGTTAAGATTTATTTTTTCTGGGAATGTTTTATTTGTCATTAATTTAGATTTTTTTTTTTTTTGATTCTTTTTTTAAATTTAAAAATTTTTATCTTACAAATAGCATTAGATAATGGCATGTTCTTATGCTTTTCCAGTTTGTTGAAAAGTTTTATACCAGTATCACAAACACAAATGCGATTTCTTTGAGTAGACCGACCACTTCCACTTTCATATTGCACAATAATATTAATACATCTGTAAAAACTGAACTACATCACAATCAAACACACAAGCTTCCACTGATTTTCAGTCCAGGTAGATTTAATTGTTGCATGACCTGCATGAGTTTGTAATTATTTACATTTTATTATTTTATTAATTAATTGTTGGTTTGTTTTTTAACTTGACAGTAATTTTACATTCAGTACTAAGTTGATGTATGGAGTTATGAATGCTCATTGTTTGGTTCACCTGTATAGCCTGAGCTGCTTAACGCATGTACCTAATATGTCACAAGTGACTGATGCCATGGCAACTGTTTGTAAACAGTAATTTTTACTGCAATGTATCAATGATATGTCTGCATGTTATTGCGCAATACAGTAGATAAATATTGCTACATTTATTGACGCCGCCTCATTTGTTTGCTTTTCACAAGTACCGGGGGTACTACATCATGACAAATTGCAATGCTACAGAAAGCTATGAAGGCAATAGATGGACATGACCAACTTTGTCATTTGTTATAATAAGTTTCGTGCATATACATATATGTTGGCTGCTGCTTGATGCATGCCTGAAAGTTTTGTAAAAATCTTGTTTTTATTTTGTTTTGTTTTTAAGAAAACATAATTCACACCTAAACAGTATTCTTTTTTTCAGTATTACATCTTCCATGTTATGTATTTTTAATAATTCTCCTTGTGTCTTAGTTTTTTTTTTTTTTTTTATTTATTTATAATATTAATTGCTATCAGTATTTGAGATGTATTATGATTAACCTAATATCAATGTCATTTATTGGTTAAAAATTAAGCTAGGAAAATGAGGACAATTGAAATTTGTGTCATCCGCCATCTGGGTTATAATTGTATGCCTGCAAAGTCCAATCTTTCATGTTTTGAAACTGTGAATTGTAATTTGAGAAATGACAGATACAATGCCCCCCCCCCCCCTCTGTATCAGCAAAACGATAACATATAGCCTATGCATAATTTGTTTACAGCCGGTGAAAGTAAATAAACACTCACACATGACTTACGCAGAGTTTTTTTTTTTATTAACAAACTGCCTGTCTAGTGAATGTATTGCACATATTCAGTCATTATTGCTGAACTGTGATGCACAGTAAACACAAAAAGACAATACTGTTTAAAACCAAAATAAACACTTGTCAAGTAGAATAAGAAGAAACTGTTTGACCTTCAAAATGTCAGCTGCAATGTACTTGCACTTTGTAAATGTCGTGCAGTGTCTGTTTCAGATTGAAGTTGTTGTTTTTCTGTAGATTGATCTGAAACATCTCACTTAATAATAATAAAAAATGTATTTTGATCGATGGTGATGTAAATTTTAAAAAGATTGTTCTGTCATTTTCTGAGTTTATGGCTAAAATGTGTTGATAAAAGTTTCTAATGGTATTTTTCATGATGGTTATCAAAACTTTGATGCATTTTTGTATGCATGCATGCATGCAAAATTTCCAACTCAAGCAGACATGCTCTTCTTCATGAAAACTCACTTTCAGATTTGACTAAATTAATGTACAACAATACAACTCCAAATAATAACAGAAAAAAATAAGTCATTCGTAAGGTTTTATATTGATGTTTGTATGTATTGAAAGGTCAACTGTTATTGAAAATATTGTATGTGATGTAACCTTGACAACCAATCTATTGAAATGAATATCCCTATGAGTGACCAGGATACACACACAATGCGTGAAGACGCTTACAATCATTATTTTCCCATCTAAAAAAAAATTTGATACAAATTTTCAGTTTGCTATATTCCTTCAATTTTTATTTGAATTTTTGACTGCATACACACTTGTTGGTATCTTTTGGAGAATTTGGATGACAAATTTTTAAAATTTCGATTAAAATTTTACGAACAGAGAAAGCAGATGCCACTCAGCATGCTTCTGTGAAAGATGACAATGGATAACAATGGTCGTGAAAGGGTTCGAAGGTCACTGTGTTCTTAAGTAGCACATTATTACCGCCCAAAACAAACACCAAAACTAATATACATTGCAGCATCCACATAATAAAAAATTGGTGCAGTGCTGCGTATCTGAGCTATTTTCTTTCACTACAATGGCTATTTGAAAGTCTGAAGGAAAAAAAAGTACCTGGATTCGTATTTAAACTTCATACGTACTTTGAACAAGTTTTTAATTTATAATAAGCGAGTAGA